CAGTGACTCTGCCGTGAGCTCCCAAGTCTTCAACCTTTGACAGCTCCCCGACCCTTTGGCTCTCAAGCATGGAGGCCGTCATTCAGATTCCTCCACCTCTGATCCTGCAGCTGTACTGGGACTCATTCCCTTCTGATCCTGTAAGCCTAACTAATAAGTTCCTTGTATAATTATAAATCTATACGATATTGATTCTGTTCCAGTAAACCTCATCAATATATGACATATAAGAGTTATTTTCAAACTTTTATGGGTAAGATCAATTGAGTTTCTAATAAAATACATGTCCAATGACCTCAGTAGATCTGGGATGAGGCTCAGGAATTTGCTCAACAAAATTCCAATAGTCCTGATGCAGGTGATCATCAGATCACAGTATGAAAAACACTAACAGACATTTACGACATGCTTTCCACCACCACATTAATGTGTGTTTAACTGTTTGGATGTTTTATGAAAAATCTATTTTATTACTGACAGACAGTTAAGCTGTTTTCATTTTTACCAATGAAGATTATAATGAACTTTCACTTTTCTAGTAGCATGAAGAGAACAATTTAAGTTTTTACATAAGTAATTCTTACATAAGAGTATGTAGATTTTTTTCTTGCAATTGACACTTAAGGTCAATTGTTTATTCTATTTAGCACAAATTAATAAATGATTGTTTTGATGTTAATTTCGAGTCCTCTTATGAATGCACAAACTGCCATTTTGAGACTGATTACCTATAATATGTACATAATTCAAATGATTTCTGTTTCTATTGCTTTGCTTAACATCTCTGGGGACTTTAACTTTTCCATAGTTATTTTATAGTCAATGAGAAAAATTTCTTTAAAACTGAGACTAAGAAGTAAGGAAACATTTAAAGAAATGTTTGTTATAATTGTTTGGATTTGAGGCCGTCTGCTTCCTGGAAAGCAGGCCAGGATTGCTGACAAAGATTGAAAACAGAAGTAGGGGTTACGTCAGAGTACAGGCCAGTCTTAGTAGGTTTTAAGAACATGGAAAAATCATCATTTTTTCCATTTGTTCATTTGCTTTCCAGTTTTAATCCAAAAAGTTCAAATTTTACAGCTGTAGGCAAAATGGTCAGATTTTCTTGTCTTACCCTTATCAAAAATAATTTCGCATGCCCTGGAGTCTAGTTCTCAGGAAGTACTGTGCCAAAGGTGTGTGGCTCTTTGGGGGCCTCAGCTGCCTCCTTGCTTTCTTTTTTTTCTTTTTTTTTTTTTTTTTTGGTTTTTCTCTGGTTCCGGGAACCAAACTCACGACCTTGCGCTTGCCAGGCAGGCGCTTTGCCGCTGAGCTAAATCCAGAGCCCCCCTCCTAGCTTTCTTAATTGGTGGCTGCCTTCTCTCTTGCCCACCTCTTATCACCGGGCCTGTGGGTGGGATGGGGGTACGTTCGGTTGCCAGTTCTGCTTCTAAGGTCATTTTCCCATTCTCTTCACTAACCCCACTTTCCTCTAAATTTCTTGCACCTAACTATAATGTCCACATCTCTCTCTATCGCAGTTATCTCCTCACTCCTGGATTGTATCTTTAAAGATGCTAGTTTCTCACCTGTTGCCCTTCTCTATGTACTGTCATTGTCATAATTCTTGGTTATTTCAGTATCTTTGGAGATGAGCCTTTGAATACTCTGGCATACTCTAATGACTGCTGTCATTCTGCTATATGTGTTCACCCATGGGTCATATCCCAACCTTTGTTGGTAGCATGTTTTAAAACCTCATCATTGTCTCAATTTAAATCTCCCATTCTTGCTATCAATTTCCATGTTTGAAATTCATTCACTTTAAAAATACGAGTCCAGCAACAATTGGGGCCCATCTGGGTTAGGGATACAGATGTAGCTCAGCGGAGTCCTCTCCACACAGGAGATGTGGCCTTCATCTGGGGGTTGACTGGAAAGGGACCCAGATAAGCCTCAGATGTATAGTTGCTGGCAGAACTTAGTTCCTTGTGGGGTGTTGGACTGGGAGCCTCAGTTTCTTGACAAATATTAAGTAGAGGCTGTGCTAAGCTCCTTACCATATGGTCATCTCCTTAGGCAGCTCATCATATGACAAGTTGGCTCTTTGCTACAGACAGTTTCCTTGCTAGACAGGCCCTTAAAAATTCTATGTACTATAATCATGTACATCCCATCACCTTTGCCTCACTTGTTGACTAGGAGAAAGTCACCAGTTCTGTCCACGCTGGAGAGGGTATTACACAGGGCATGGATATCAGCAGTGATGGGGTTCATGGAAGGAACTTTATATCCATTCCTCACATACCTGTTGTTCATCTGTCTTTGTTATCCTTACTCTCATTAACATGGAATCACACTGGTCATTATATTTTCAATGAACTAAAGCAACAGCATTCTGAAGTTGCAAACTATTTGGTTACAAGCATCCTGGATCAATCACAATATTATCAAATCATTTTTAAAAGAAGAAGTATTGTCCTCTTTCGAGTTCAGCCAGTACTTTTTAAACTAAAAGTTTGACTCTGGGATATGCATGCTAAGATACGTGAATGTACACACATTTTAGTAATGGTAATAAAATAAATATCCACATATTCACTACCGGGGTAAGAAATTGCTTGGCAAAGAAGCCCCACGAATGCCCCTGGTTGGCCATTTCCCTTTCTTCAGTGCTTATCACACCACATTATTCATCATTCCTTTGTGGTTATTTACTATTTGACCAGGAAACTTTCTTTGTTTTTTTTTGGTACCGGGAATTGAACTCACGACCTCAGGCTTGCCACACAAGCACTTATGCCACTGAGCTATATCCCCAGCTCTTGACCAGGAAACTTTCTATCCTGAAATTAAGAATTGCTTAGCTTATTGTAGCTCTTTTTGAATTTTGCACATAATCTGATTTTCTTTTTTTTCCCCCACTCACTATTGTGATCTGAATGCACTAATATATTGATGTACGGCTGTGATTATATTCACTGTACACTATTTTAATATGTGGTCTTTGAATGTGTTAAAATTTATGCATTTATCTTACTACTGACAGATGTTTGGGTTTTAACATTTTTTTGCTACTGTGAGCAACAACGCTGTGAGCTTCAACAACACTGCCTGTTGATGTTCTCGGTTGCGCATGCTCTGGTTTCTCTCTGTCTTAGGAGAGGAGGGACTAAGTTGTAGGGTGTGTGCTTGCTCCACTTCTCCCAGAAATGCCTAACTGTTTTGCACATGATTGTACTGCTTAACTCTCCCACCAGCAGTGGAAGAGGCTGTTTCCTTTTATAGGTAAAGCTTTTCAAGAGTCCGTTTTGAAAGACTCCATCAGAGGGATGGTGATTGGAATCAGTCACTTCTAAATTAAATGCCTGAGAGTAGGAAAGTAACAGCTTGAGTAAATCTTTTTGGCAAGTGGGTGCATTTAAAATAAATTTTAAGATTATAAACGCTGAGGGAGTTTAATTAAAGTTTAGAAGATTACAGCACAAATGTTTAGGAGCTAACATTTCCCTTTCATGTCCAATAGCAATTAATTCTTCTCTTCCACTTCGAACTTATCGGCCTGCTTGTGTTACACTGATAGTGCGCGTACACTTTTCTTCTCAAAGATGGTTTCAGATCCAACTGGGTATATTTACTGAACAGTAAACTTACAAAAGCGGAGCCTAGTTTGCTCTTTGCATTGATCAATGGGATTTCTAAGCCCATGATGATTTAGGAGGTGAACTAGAGTTTGAATTTCTTGAAAAAGAAGAATCTTCAGTTAAAAAAATATGCAGTACATTTATAGAGAGGGTCACAGCCTATTTCATTATCTTCTTTACAAGAATACATTGGATTTTAAAGTTAATAATCAAAATTGAGGGCAGATGCCACATACGATTAGAAGACTCTTGGGAAATTTTTTTCCTCAAAGTTGTGCTCTTTACACTTTTGAGACTAATGGCACTTTAAAATGACTTCACAGATAATCATCTGGACTTTAAATTTTTAATTTTCTTTATTAGTGTCTGTAAAAATATTTTTTATTGTATCTTCTTGTCCATTTAAGTCTTCACTTTACTCAATCAAATATATTGGCCACATTTTATAGAAGTTTCCTCTCCTCACCTCTTTTGAAACTGTGTCTTTTCTTGGGTTGGCAGAGATTTTTTTTCCTGTGCTGGTGACAGAGGGGTGGAGTGAGGGGAGGGATGGGAAGGAGAGAAAGAGAAAGACAGAAAGAGGCATATGGGGGAATGGGAGCATAGTGGTCAGTGGTAACAATGAGTTGTTATCTTCACCAGAGAAGTTTCTAACTATAAGGTAAGAAGACAAAATCTCTCCAGCCCATGTATGAGTCTGCTCTTCTCTAGTGAAGAGAGAGGAGCCAGGATTATTTCTGATATATGTTTTAGTCCAAGTTTCCTAGAAAAGAGACTCTGAATCACAATTTATAGACTAATGCTTTGCTGGGTCTGCATTCCCAGGGCAGAGAGAGTGAAGGAAAGGCTGGTTATGGAAGATGCAAGGCCAACACAAGGCAGTGCGTATGTCCCATCCTGCAGGTAATGCTGCCAGGTGCTTGGTTACATAGGACATTTCTGCAAAGCCATCTAGAACCTTTTTATCTTAAAAAAAAAATTAGATGGAAAGGGAGGCTGGAAAGGGCATTTACTTAACATCCCCTTGTCATCTCTTGCTTCTCTGGATTAATATTTCTCCTCCAGGACATTAACCAGGCCAACTCTATTATTTAGCTTTGTGTTACTACAATAAAATGTCCAAGAAAGCTAATTTATAAAGAGAAAGGGTTTATTTAGCTCATAGTGTCAGAGATTTAAAGTCTAAGACTGAGCAGGTGGTCCGATTTGTCTGGTGCTGTGAGTCCAGCAGATGGTGGCACGTAACGGCAGGGGTGTGTAGGGGCGAACAGAGAGAACAGTCTGAGAGTTCCATAGTTCTCTTTGAGGCACCTTCCCAATGACCTGAGGATCTCCCACTAGGCCCCGTTTATTCTCCCCAGTTATTTGTTCCTACAGGTCCACAGTACCTCCCAGTGCTGCCACCCTGGAGATAACACCTTTACCTGCAGACTTTTGGATGCCACTCGTAGTCTAAACTAGCACCAAGCCCGTGTGAGCAGCCTTCGGAGAAGCCGCGCCCTATGCTGCACGGTGAGTGCTTCATCAGAACATGGAAGTAGTGGGAAAAGCCACTGCTGTGGGTCAGCTTAGTTTATGCTTGAATTTGACCTCTGGCTCACACCAGGAACAGGCTGGAAGCAATGACCAGCTTTGACAGAAACTGATTGTACAGCCCGGAGTCAGCTGCACTAGTAGGTTGTCTCAATGGGCTGACCTGGCTTAGCTACTATCCTATTGTCCACTTCTATAGGGGAGGCCTGATTGGCTCTTCAGGTGGCCTTGAGATCACCCTAGTAAACTCTCTGTCCCAACTATCCCAGGAAAATTTGGATCAGGATTCAGAATGTTCTCTTCTGTGCCACCGTCATTTAGGAATGTGACTGCGAGTTTTAATGAGCTGATTGCTCAATCTTCCTTCAGGACAGAGAGAGGTGAAATAAGGAAACCAGACATAAAGTGAGTAGCAGGTAAGCCACTGACAGCATCAGTTTAATGTTTAATTAAAATACTTTGCTCTGATGTTGGAGATATTCTTGGATAGGCGGGAGCGTTCAGAGGTCCGAGGGAATCCAGTTAAGTTTGAAAAGAATTGACAATATAAACCAGGGAAGTAGTGGCTGACATGATTAAAACTGCCAGTGCAGCCAGGGAGCTTGTTGGGTGGGGGCCTTTGCACAGTGGGGTTCGGCTGGGTGAGATTTTGGATGTTGGTGCTGGTGTGAAGTCTCACAGGACCACTCAAGATTCCTTCCTGGCACACACCGGGGACAGGTCCAGCCCTACAGCTCTGTAGGCAAGTGAGACAGAACGCCAGGTAATATTCCAACCCAACATTCCTCACCCTAGTTGAGTCCTAGGATGTTCTAGCAAAGAAATAAAAGACTACTGCTCCCATGAACAGAGGCAAATATTTGACCAGTGGTTGAACGGAAGAAGGCAAGCAAGACTGTTGCTCAGGCATCATGGATACCCTGGCTCACGGAGGCACACTGCAAGCTGGATGTGCTTAGAAAATGGAATTTTCTAACCAAGCAGTGTTAGAGAAAAACATGGGGAAAAGGATGAAAATAGCATATTATCTTCTGTTGCCTGGAACACTCTCAAATATAGAAAGTTGACATTTGTTTTGCAGAAAGTGGTCTCTGAAGCTCTTTTTAAAAAGATCAGTATTACACTTCATAAAATCACAGGGACTTCCTGTTTGGAGTTTGTACTACTAAAATTTATTTTTTTAAAAGTACCCATTCTCTTTTTCAAATTGGAATTGAAAAAGAGAATGTATGAGAATGTGTTCTCATATGCTCTGAAAATATTTGATATTAGCTATTAGTAACTTCAACTCAATCAACTCTTTTTATTTCACTCTAAACTATTATATGATTAAAGGTAATAAGTTTGCTTACATAGAGGCTCTGTGGAAGTGGAGGGAGGTCCAATAATTTTTTTTTGATGGTAGAAATTGAAGTATTCTTGCTTTCAATGCATTTTTACTAGTGAATGTTAATTTTGTAAACTATGTGGTTTAAATGTGGTATTTTCATACATGGATATGACACTTTGATCACATCCACCCCTGTCATCCTCCTTTACAATCCTCCCTTGCTCCTTTATTCCCTTCTGATAAATTTTAAAGCCCCTTTAACCGATTACAAAGCACATTATTTCTAAACTATCTTTGCATCTGCTTTACCTTAATTTGTTAATTTAATTTTATTGGGGACTTGAATAGTTTCCTTTAGAAAATTTTTTTTTGGAACTGAGCATTGAACTCAGGACCTTGCGCTTGCCAGGCAGGTGCTGTGCCACTGAGCTGTATCCCTGTTATGGTTGATACGTTGTGTCAACTTGGGGAGTCTAGAGGTTTGGCGAGTGACTCAGCAGGAAGCCAGGGTGCTTACTTTGTATACATCCTGAACCTGTGGAAGAGGAGCGCATGGAGATTATATGAGAGCTACACGCCCCTTAGGTGGGCGTAGCCTGTTTTACAGTGTAAGGGACGGAAAGAGGTTGCTTGCCGCCATTTCTCTCTTTTGCTCTGGCTGCTTTGCTGTTCGGCTGCCATTCCCCCTTGCTCTTGTTTTGTTACCTTCTGCCTCGGAGCCAGCCAAGTATGGACTGAAACCTCCACAAACTGTGGGCTAAATAAACCTTTCCTTCCTTCATTTTGGGCATTGGGTATTTTGTCTCAGCAATGAGAGAGAAGTAACTAAGACAATCCCCGGCCCCAATACTTCCTTTAAAAGACAAGTAAACATCCTAGAAAAAAACCGCTATTGTCATTCTTACTGCTTTCAAGGAATCATTCCCTTTATCACTACATTGGAGTGCAATTATCTTGTTAAAGCATTGATCATAACACAGAATTTGAGACATTGGACTTGCATATTTGTGCTCTGTGCCTCTATTTTCCCCCCTTCCATGTAGTCTCTATTTTCATTCTAGCAGAAGTCTCAAACATTTTCTGTCTCTAGGGTCCGCTTCTATGAGCTTTGCAGTGACACGTCTTCCTCTGGCAGCTGTTTAGCTCTGCTCTGGTGCCTCCTTCATCCTCTGTCTATCCTTCCTCTTCTCAGATCACAGCCCATCTCAGGCAGAGCAGCTGAGAAACCAACAGAGTGGCAAAACAGAGCAGCTGTCAGGGGAGCAGCGCGTGACACTGAAGAGACGAAGTGTGTGGGGGACTCAGACAAGCCAAGGTGCCTCTGCGGGTTGGAACATTTGACCCAAAAATGGCTAGATGTGCAAGCGATTCCAGACATTGACAAATCTAGCTGGCTTAATAGGTTGACTCTACCTCTGAAATCTCCCCGCCCAACCCTATCCACTCACTTTGGTGTACATTATGCAGAAAAAGAGTCCAGGCTTTGATGAAAATGAATGAATGAATAAACAAATCAATAAATAACTTTAGACCAGCCTTGGAGGAGATTTGTAATCAGAATACTTTATAGTTATCCATCATATTACATTACAGGAAAGGGTAGAGGAAGTTTATTAGGAACTTTTAAACTCCTGTCTCTGTCAACGTAATGTGCCTTTCTGTGTTATTTGATTGAATCCTATGAGAGTCACATTCCTTAAGCTGCCTTAAAGCTTCAGCAGTCTCACTCTGTATCTTTTCTCCTGGGCACACTTAGAACAGTCATATTTATTTTTGGGATTTTGGTCAGAGTCCCTTAGCATAATTCAGATTTCCTTCTCCAGTCTTTTTGGTTCTGTGTGGTCATGTTTGCTTCAGTCAAGGGTGCCCTTGGGCTAATTTCTCCAGACTGTTGCCTTTATATTAATTTTGGTGGCATTTCTGGAAATGCTGTGCAGCACTGTAGTATTGTTGATTATCAGAGTAGAAGACCTAGGGTTCCTCTTACTCAGTTTACAGATGGTATGTCTGAGTCTCAGTGAAGAAAACGTCATCTCCAACCCTGCCAGCTGGCTAGGGCAGGGAAGGCCAGTGCATGCTTCAGTATGCTACTGGGCTTTGTCATTTTGAATGACACTTTCCCCCCTCCATCTGCAGTTTATTGCTTTTTAGTGTGTTTTGCAAAGAATGTACATTTACTACTCCACTGATAAAATAAGCTTTTTAAAAAACATCAAACAGTTTGTTAACATTCAACTGTGCCATAATCTTAGATACAAATTTGGAAGATTCTAAGCTAAAGCATCAAAAGACCCTATCTGTTTTTGCTTCTGAGTGAAGAATAAGAAAGATGGAATTAAAACTTTTCTTTTTACCTTTCTATTCATTATTCAGCATAATTGACAAGTTTTGACTGTCTCCCATGTAACAGTGTGCTAAATTCTGCACAGATACAAAGATCATTAAGTCTCCTCTGGAAGAGTTCTCCGTCTAATGGGATGAGACAGAAACACGTATATGTCCACAATTACAGTACAGGGTGCCATGACCAGTAGTGTAATAGAGGCAGTTCCAGAGTCTTATGAAGAACACAGAAGAGGAAATATTAACCACCAGGAAAGCTTCTCTGAAGAGATGACTTTGAAATTGTGTCTTGAAGAATGTGTAGACATTCACCAGATGGTAAGAAGGGAGGAGTGCAAGTGAGAATCCCAGGCAGAGGAAATAGCATCTGCAAAGACAAAAAGTTCTAAGACAGAATAAAATACTCGAGTGTAAGAGCAGAAGAGTGTGAGCAGAAAAAAAGAGTTGAGGATAGAGGGAGACAGGGCTGGAAGGCAGATTAGCATGAAGAGGTCTGCATATGACTCCCGAGAGATTTGTCCTTACGTTAGCTGCAGAGAAGCAGAGGCCTTGTCTGTTTCACCACTATCTATACAATGCTAACATTATACTCAAGCAGGGTTTATAAGGTAAAAGATCCATAAAACTGATTAGAGTTAAAGAAAATCAATTTTCAGAGCAGCCATGCAATTGACTGAGGGTTTGAACTGAAGAATTAATGGTTAATTCCTTATTTGATTTGGCCTGCTATGACAAAATACCATGACAGAGTAGCTTCTGTGGCAAATGTCTTTCTTATAGATCTATCAGTTGGGAAGCCAAGATCGGGGAACTGGCAGATTTTGAGTCTAGTGAGGGCCTGTCCCTCATATATAGCACCTTTAAATTGTGACTTCACATTGTGAAAGGGGAGTAAAAGTTCCCTTGTACCTCTTTTATTAGGGCACTAATCTCATTTATGAGGGCCTTGCCTTCTTGAATTAATAATCTCTCCAAAGATCCCACCTCTGAAAGCAACACATTGTTGGTTTGGATTTCAACAGATGCATTTGGGTGACACAAGGATTATAATCACAGCAACTGAGGTGAAGGAAATTTGGAAGATTTAATAGGTAAAATTGATAAGATTGAATTTCTGATTGGACAGAGGTGGGGCTCGAAGGGAAAGTGTCAAAGAAGAGTCCAAGATCTCTAACATGAAAGCACAAGTCAATGATGATGGTGTCAACTAGGGCTGGAGAAGAGGAACTTCAGAGCAAGTGTGGTCTTGGCATAAGGGTCCAAGTGTCGATGTTCAGAACCATATAAAACAAATATCTGAAGCTCC